TCACATCCGTGACGGTTTTGCGTCACATCCGTGACGGTGTGGGCGCGCATCATAAAAATTTACCCTTATCCTTTTTCCCAAACGCGCAATAAGAAGTATAACTTCAAAAAAAAAAATGTATGGATTAAGAGCAGAAATATGATAACACACACAGCCCTCTGATAACATGCTTCAATTTTTTTTAAACAAATATTCTTATATGTATGCGTTTTTGCTTCTTTTGTTTGCATATTTCCCATGGTCGTGGTAACCTTTTGGTCAAGGTAATGAACTCGTGGCAGGCGTGTCACGAGTTCGAGTCTAGTACCTCTGATGACCCACCGTGCAGATTCCGATGTCGTTAAATATGTCGAGGCTCAAATGTCCTCTCGTTGGTATGGCGTGGAAGTTAGGAGAAGGAGTGACCGCGCTCATGTGTGTCATCCTTGTCACTTGCCCATGGTTCAAAATTGCGAGGTCCGTCGCCAAAAGTCCTCGTGTAGTTAAACAGTGGGATGTTAATATTAACTCACTCACTCACTCACCTTCTTTTGAAAATACAGTTGTACTACAGCTTTTTTTGAAACAGCGTCCATCTGTTTTATAAAAATATCAGAATAAGTAAAAAAATATTAATGATTTCTGTGTGCTATATTTCCTCCAAAAGCCCCCGAGTAGGTGAATAGTGCGACGTCAATATTCCCTAATTCACTCTTTTTGTATATTTTTCGAGAAATTTTATTTTTTAAAATTGTTTGTAATAAATAATTATTTATTATGCTGAGAGCTTTTGCTACAAATATAACAAAAAAGTATGGTATGTTGAAAAAATATTCATTTTGAAAAATAAAATATATATATATATATATATATATATTAATTTGATTTATATGGACTTTTTTGAAAATAGATGAAATCTCTGCAAAACAGTTTTTTAAAAAAAATTACCATAAAAGATGTAAAACAAGCCTACAAATTAAATCCCTTATAGTATTTAGGTATCCGACTACGTTTGGAACCGTGATTTTGCAAAAGAGTATAAATGGATAATATTTATGATATTTAGTGTCACTTAGAATAGAATACATGTATAAAATTGTTTTAAGTACATTTTGACCAAAAACAATTATTTAAATGCAATACTTCGGCAAAAAATTAACTTATAATAACCTTTTTTCAAAATGTTATCCGTTTGTGAAAAATGCTTCTATTATAATAATATTTTGCCTGTATATAGCTCAGACCTCTGTACAGAGGCTCAACTATGATTTTTGAAATATTCAGATTATTTTCAGAGTTACAACCTTTTGAAATAACTATCGGTGTTTTTATCTTAAAATTTTTCCCCTCTATTGGTCGTAAAACATGGATAAACCCACTTCTAAATTATATATTTCAAAAATGCTAGTTGATCCTCTGTACAGAGGTCTGAGCTATAGACAGGCAAAATATTATTATAATAGAAGCATTTTTCACAAAAGGAGAATACTTTGAAAATAGGTCATTCTATGTTCCTTTTTTGTCAAAATATTGTACTTAAATAATTTTTTACTGTATTACTATTCTTAAAACAATTCTATATACATTTTCTAATCTAAGTGACACTAAATATCATAAATATTATCCATTTATACGCTTTTGCAAAATCACGGTTCCGAACGTAGTCGGATACCTTAAATGGTTCACTGTATGCATTTCACAATATTTTTGGCCTTGATAATAAAATATCATGTACCATCGTCTACAGCAGGGGTGTCAAACTCGGGGCCTGGGGGCCACATGTGGCCCACAACGAACATTTTTGCTGCCCGGCCAATATATCGGCACACAATATTATATAATAAAATAACAAACCGACGCAAAATAAAAACAAGTCGTGTTCGCTAAACGATTTTTGAATTATGTTCGCTTTTTTTTTTTGCTATTATTATCCCTTTAACTACCACCGGCGTATATATACGTCTCGCTCAACTGATGAATTAAATGGCCCGGACGTATATATACGTGTTTCCGAAATACGATCCTTTTCTTTGCACTGCTATCAGTAAATCTATTCTGAAGGCTTTGGAGTGCAATAAAATGACCTTGAAAGTGTTTGCGAAGTATTTACATATTTCATAGAAAAAATTGTTTACTTTTATGCCTTCTCTTTTCACTTCAATACATTGCAAAGGGGCGCCATTGTGAAAAACGACGGCACTCGGGAATGAATCGCTTAACTTATAATCGGCAATTAAGGGGTTAAACAAAATGCTTACATTTATTTTGAATGCACTAATATTAGGAAAATACGATACCTACGTTTCTATGAATATTAATTTTTTTTTGGGGGGGACACCTAAAGTTAAACCTTGTTTGTTAGGCCAAAGTTAGCCTTTGAGCTTGACACCCTTGGTCTACAGTGCTTAAATTTGCTCACAGGGATAATTTAAAATAATGTTAAGCACTGCAAATTTTTCAGATGTGATAGTTAATTCATTTCTAATTTGTGTTAGTTCAACCCATAAATTACCAACCTTTTTTGAACTGGCGCCTCCTTTTCTAGTGAATATTTCGATACCGCTCCCTCTCACTCAAGAGAAATAAGAGTGTACATAATAAATGGTGAAAACAAGAATTAATTTTAAAATAATATTCTATTACTCTAATAGAACATATTTTTCTAATTAAATTCTTTTTTCTTCATTACACGTAAATATGAAAATCTGATATAAAATTATACACATCTGACTTTCGCCAGATGAAATTAAGTAACGAGCTTGTATAATCAAGAAAAACGAACAGAAAATCTTTGTAGAATGTCTTTGTCTGCAATGATTGGGGCCGCACACATTGCCATCATCTACTGCAACGAATTCTTCCGATGGTACAGTATAAGACAAACCAATTATACAGAAATTTTCTAAAACATTTCATTAAGTGTCAGTTCGGTTTCAATATCTTCCTTTTCCATCTTTTCGTGTAAAGCGATGTTCGTTTCAAGTTAAGGGGAAAAAAAAATGCATGAAAATACTGCGACATGGTCGATCTTCGTTGACCATATTGTGGGGTTTCAGCGTAAGTTAGAGGTGTGGGATTCTCGAAATGATGAGACATTTTAGAATTCTTAATATGACTTTTATTAAGAATTTAACTTAAATTACTTAGATATCGAACACAAACTTATATTAAGTGAGAATAAACCAAAACACGTAGCCGTAATTAACACAGATCGCGCAATCGGATCACTTATCAATATAATTATATTATATCCGCCTACTCTCAATCTTAATAATATATTCGCATTCAGAATATAATCTTCCTACCTTGATTTCTAAGCAACGGTTCAATCCACTTCAGATATTCCTCTAAGCTGGCGTACAATGGTATGTACCTTGGATGAATGGCGAGATTTTCGTGATTCTTAGGTAAGCCGTCAATTTGCACTTCTGTCCTTTCTGAACTGAACTTTCTCTAAATTGCCATCGCGCTCACTAAAACTTCTGTCCTTTTAAAGGTTATCTTATTTGCATCTATCCTTCGTGTTTCACTTCTAGGATTTGGGTTGGAAAAGATTTGCCATTATATATAATCGTGGCCGTCAAAGAACACAGAGGTTATGTTAGAGAAAGGACGCGTGAGACGTCACAATACATAGTAGTTTGTCGGGGCCGTTGTATTATTTTGTGTTAACCGATATTTCGTCTTACGTGTTTTCGCGTTAAACGTATTTCACTGTTTGTAGAAGTCTAATTTTTTTTTTTTTTATGCTCATATTTTTTATTTTATTTTTAAAACTCATTTTTGTAATCGGCGTATAGTGCGACCCGTAAATTTCGATCTTATTTTTTGTGTTAAAAGTGCTCGTTATGCGATAGATTTTACGGTATAAATGTATTATACTACCTTAAATTAATGCATTCATTTTATTGATAAATACACTTAATGCTTGATTTTTTAAAATAGGAAACGCTACTTGCTCCCACCATTACTTTTCTCCATCTCAAAGGCGATTGCAACGCAATAAGACTAGGAGCCCAAAGGCTAGAATATCTAATAAAAATTCCTCGAAATAGTTAACCCATTTTATTCGTTTCCCAACAACAAATAAAAACAAATAAGAAAAGAACAAATGCAAAAGGAAATTAACAAAGACAAAGTATAACAAAAGAAAACGCAGGAAAAGGAGAAGGAAAAAAAAATCAGATGGAGGATGTTGAATTCCGAGGATTCCAAAGTGAGTCTGCAGAACCTCCATGGACAGGCATTCCAGGATTCTTCAGAAGTAATTCCAAACGACACATTTATAAGCGAAAGTTAATGGAACTGCATTCTTGTATCTCTGTGTTTCCGAGTTATCGTGAATTTTTCAGGTTTTGGGTTATTAGTAAGGACAGCACGAAATTGCGTTTTGAAAAGAAATTTTTTCCGCCGACATAAGTCCATGTTAGAATTCTAGGATTCGAAAATGGAAAGGAACGATTTTTTTTTATTTTTGAAGTATGAGGCCGTGGAGGAATTGTTATTATCAGAAAACATTTAATATCGTATATTTTGAATTAAAAATGATAGCTTTTAAATGTTTCGAAGTCTTTCTTAGCATTCCTGTCAGGCAAGTTGCATCAAATGTAATATTTGTTTAGTTAAAAGAATTATTCGTGTAAAAAGAGAACACTATGCATTTTTTATGGAGTTAACTTTTAAATACATAAAAATATTAAAATTCTATGCGTCCTTTGCAAGAATTTTATTATATTGAATTAGAAAAAAGTATAAAAAATGGAGGATCCCTTTATTCAATTCCTACTACTACAATTCCTATATATATTTATATATATCTTCTTCAAATTTTCAGTCGTTTCTAAAGTACTTTTTATTCATCCACTCAAGTTCAAATAATTTTTTTAAACTTGTAGTGGATAACACTTGATGTTAACACAGTTTTTTCAAATATTAATTCATTAATTAAATTTAATTAATGAATAAAAAGAAACAAAAATTTTGGTCCAAGACCATATGTAAAAAGGAAAACCGCTCGTTGCGTCCCAGTAGTGCAATGGGTAGCGAGTTGGACTTCTAATCCAAAGGTCGTGGGTTCGAATCCCGCCTGGGATAACTTAATTTCTGAGAATGTGATTTCTTTTTACTTTTCTATTTTATTGGAATAATTAAATTCAATAGTAACCAACAAAAAAAAAAAAATAGTCCAACACCCTACATAGAAAGGAAAATGGGAAATTGCACGGAAAATCGATTTCTATTTTGCCACTTAATATTGTGATTCTGTGACATATGTATATACATATTTATATTAATTGTAATTATTCAATGAAAAGTACCGTAAAATCCGGTGTATAACACGCACCTATACGTTCAAGCGTAAATTTATAATTTTTAGATATATTCGCTGTATAACGCGCATCCCCTTTTTTAAGAAGAAATCTGAAATATTGGTATACATTGTTCCCCTATTTTTCGAAATCATTTATTCGAGGTATTATCCCAGACATTTGACACAAAATAGTTTTCTTCCAGAACTGCAATTCTTTTATTTCATAAGGCAAGTCTCTCTCTCTCTCATTTCTTTTAAATAGACAATATTTCGATACATATAGAAGTAAATTTTTTTTATGCTCATCTATCTTGCTATTTTTAAAGCTATAGTTTTTATATACGGCGTATAACACTCACCCTTAAGTTTCAGTCGTATTTTTTGTGCTAAAAGTGCGCGTTATACGCCGGATTTTACGGTAACTAAAATAAAGTTTTTCTTTGTTGATCTAAGTAGGTTTTTTATTTATATTACTTGTTTTATATGTATTATAAGTACATATAAAAAAAAATGAAATTTTCGAAAATCTTATGTGATGCAAGTATTTTTATTTCAGAATATATTTTCTGAAATATTTTTTAATCATTTAGTGCAGTGATCCGCAACTCCCGGTCCGCGGACCGGTACCGGTCCGTGGATCAGATGGTGCCGGGCCACCTAAGGAACATTAAACTATTTCCATTTTATTTAAAGTGGTACATTTCTCTCGAATTTGCGTAACTTTCCACGGAAATCACTTTATATTCCACGTTAAATCACTTTTATTCATTTTTGGTGTAACTGTATTTTATTCTGAAGGCATATTTAAATGTAACTATAAATTAAAATTTTTAAACCAAAACAATCTAAAATATAAACAATCAATGTGTCCCACCCTCAGCGGGCCGCGGTAAAATTATCAAACGTTGACCGGTCAGCAGTGATAAAAAGGTTGCGGTGCACTGATTTAGTGTATTGAAGAATATAGTATCTATTGTATTCCTACAAGCACTCAGGTAGCCGCTGTCGAAGGTCATGGTCAAGGACTCGTGGACGGGTTGTTTCGAAGGCACCATGATTCATGCAAACAAGCATTACTTTTGAACTACAACTGTAATGAGAGAATTCAGAGGAAAGTGAACTATTAACAATCT